GATCTAATTTAATATTAATTATTATTTTAATTAGTTTAATTTTACAAAGTTAATTTAGGAGACCTAAGATTAAAGGACAGTTTTTTTTCCCCCGGAAAAAAGATGAAGTGCCCGGAAACACTCACCTTGTCATTCCTTAACAAAAACAAGGAACATTTCATTTGTAAAGTCATTGACATTGTACTCAACCAAAAAAAAAAAAAAAAGAAAAGAAAAAGAAGAAGAAGAAAAATTTGCTTTCAAATTGTTAACATTCCTCTTTTTTTTTTTCAATAAACTCTGTTGACATTCTGATATTGAAATGTTCAGGTCTTTCCTAAAATTATACCTCTTGTTATGTTTTTTTTTTTTTTGGTTTTATTCTTGATTTAAAGACATAAATCCGAAAGTGGTAGGAAGTAGCTTTTTTTATTTTATGTATTCGTATTCCACATTGTATACAATAGTAAACTATATTAAAATATTATATAAATTAATTAAAACTAAACTTTTCATTGAAATGAAGATTAAAAAACAAGTTTTATTTCCTAGACAGCTCAATGTTTAACACCTACGAGATTTTTGTTCTGTCCTTGTTTAGGTTCTTTGTCCTATCGTTTCGGATCGTTTACCCGAATTAAAACAAAAATAGACACCTACGAGATTTCTCGAGGTTTAGTTTATCCCATTTTCAAGTGTACAAGTTAAGAGGCTCGTCTCATATTATGTGGTAGAAGAGAATGTATTTTTATACCTGTTAATATTCAAATCATAATTTCATGACTTTGCCATATGATATTTTATAGTTTCATTACGTCCCATTAAAAAAAACAAGCACATGCTATAGTTTTATTTTTTCCATAACGAAACTGACGTCTTATAGGTATTTAGTCGACATTAGTGCCTTAAATAAGATCATTTAACATGATAAAATAATAAATGAAATCAGATAACGATTACCGAATCATATGATACATGTATAAATACTTACTCTTCTGATCATTGAGAAATTAATTTGTTCATTTTAACATTTTATTATCACAAACGCTATAAAAGAAAAATTTTTTTATTATGATTACGTCATTGTCTTACTGAAAAATATAGTGTGGTTTAAAAGGCAGATTGATTTTAGCCCATGAAGACCGCGAATGGGCCATATTTAATTGGGCCAGATCTGGTCATGTTCAAAGAACAGTCGGGCTTTGCTAGCTGTGAGGCGTCTCCAAAAGCCATGATATAAATCAACTAGAAAAGGCATGAGAAGTAATATTCTGTTAGGACAAAGAATCCCTCATCGGTGTCGTGAAAGATCAATCACCTATTTATAAGCTCCAAAGGTCACCCCACTCATTGCCTATTAATTTTGAGATGGGAGCCCAAGGTGCCACATTCAGGGGTCCAATTGCAAAATGGCAAAATTTTGGGTTAGAAATAGTATTGTCATTAATGCAATTTAGACAAGTTTAGGGTTAGCGGTGCAATTTATGTAATGATTGGCAGTTATCAATAGCGCCGCCTTTCCCAAATTCCAGTATTGATCAGAAGATTCTCTCTTTACCTCAATTGCTTCTCTCTTCGTCCCCAATTTTCTTCTGTTCTTCACCTCATTTCTTTCCGACCTCAACTCCGGTCAACGGAATTCCATTAATTCTGTTACCGTCCCTGATACCTGACACAAGGTGAGTTTGACATGGTATCAGAGCCCATGATCTGTCGTCCTATGATAACTATGAACTCGCGTGTGCAGGCTTGGACACGTGTGCCTTGGACTTGCGTCAATCACTTTCGTGTGCACGGATGGGCTTGTGGACTGATTCGGCATTATATCTGGAGTATGTACTTGTATGTACGGGCTTGTTGACTGACTCGGCAGTATATCCGGAGTTGTGGACTGATCCAAAAGTATATCTGGTGAATTATGTTGTATTGTGCAACCCCAATAGGCCAAATACCCCATTGAGTTTGAGGGAGGGTGTTGGGACAAAGAATCCCACATCGGTGTCGTAAAGAATCTGTCACCTATTTATAAGCTCCTAAGGCCACTCCACTCATTGCCAATTAGTTTTTAGATGGGAGCCCAAGGTGACTTTGACATATTCCTGGTTCATTTTCCCTCTTCCCTTTACCCTTCTCTATTTGTTTGCAAATTGATTAGAATGTACAATTTTTTTTCATTTTTCTTTTTTATGTTACTACATTTGTCTCAAAAAAAAAAATCGATACTCAGTTTTAATATTTATATTAGTTTCAGTTCTAATTTCAAATTTCAAAATAGATTTTTTTTTGGGAGAACGAGAGTAATAAAGATAGGACACGTTCCCAATATCCTAAAAAAGTTATCTTGTACAATAAAGTGAACTATTTTTCAAAAAAAAAAAAGAGTAAATTGACTTGGAAATGCAAAATAAATATGCTTTACTTTTTTCTTTCATAATTGGAGACTTATTCCTAAGATTTGTATTTATTGAACAACTTGACAAAAATATATTCTTTTTCGTTCCATTTCAATTTTTTATTTTTTTTTAACTTTTGTTGAACTTAAATAGAATTTCTATTGTTTAAAAAAAAAAATAACCCACTTTGTTAATTTAAAACAAAAATGAATTATTTTTCTGTTACGGATGAAATATAAGACTATTAAAATATAACGAGAGGAGTGATATTTCACAAATTCTAATTTCAACCTTTTTTGGAGACCACACCTACTGGTGCTTTAGATGTGCCTAGGGTATTATAAGGGGAAGCACTACTATGGGGAGACTCTATTCGGAATATCCGGTCTTCTGTGGCCGATGATTGTAGGCCCCCTACCTATTTAAGTTGGTTTTACCCCACCTAAATATGGGTAAAACACTCCTTACAAACCCATGGTGGAAATTGAACTCTGATCTATTTTCAAGAAAGATAACACCCTAACCACTAGGCTATCATTTAATTCCCAATCTTATTTAGTTTTTTTTTGTCTTCTGACATAATTTTACATTGAAAACATAATAAACATTTTGTAAATCTAAAACAATGGATTAGACTAATCGAAATAAAACATTATTCAAAATCAGTAACATGGAAAACATATCACCAAAAACAAAGTTACATACCTTAATCTCATATCGATGATAATCTGCTGATTGTTTAATGGTGGAAATTACTCATTCTACTATTAAAGAAATAGTCAATATTACAATTGAACTATACTTTTTTTTTTTTTTTACAATTCACCAGTTATAACAATGTGAAGTATGATTGTAGAAGAGGGATTACTAATTAACCTATCGGAGATTTGAGGTTACAATTTACTTCTCGATTAGTTTTCAAGAAAATAGTACGCATTGAGTTTTGAGATCTATACTATCTTTTGGAACAGAACAGTAGTAGTACCATTTTCATTAGAAATCCCCCCCTTTTAATTCCCCATCGAATTTTCTTATAAGGACGAAACTCCTTTTGACCGCCATAATTTTGAAGTCAATAGTCCATTAAATGTGAAAAATGACTAAAAACGAAGGTGGTTATCGGTGTATTTTAAATAGAAAAATTCATAAATTCAAGTTACAATTATACTTCAAACTTTCTTACAGTTTTCAAAGTATAAAGACAAAAACACTCCAAACTATATCGATATCTCCTTGTAACCAAGTGATCACATTATTGTTTTGTGTCTGCAATTAAATAATTAGCTCGCATATCCATAAAATAGATACTATAAAAATCAATAAATTTGAATAGGAGATTTATATACTCAAAGTTTTTACTATGAATTGAATAAATTATAGAAATTTGTTATCGAATAAAAGAGTAATAATGGAAGTAGTAGTGATTTTCGGATTTGTGCGTTAAAACAAAACACCGCAATAACATAATTATTGTTAGATTTTTGTCAAAAGGGTTATTATTAGATTCGAGTTTTTTGTCCTTATCACTTTTTATCAATATTTTAAATTTGAAAGGAAATAAAAAGGGTGAATATCAAATACACCCCCAAGGTTTGGTTCATTACCTTAATATATCCAAAAATATCAAGAATTCCCTTGACTTGCTGATTTTAGTAGTTAACCGGTGAGTGATGTGAACTGACGCATAAACCACAATTATCCCGGGTAACTGATAGTAGTAATATTTTTTAAAAAAAATTAAATAAAAGGGTTCGTTAAGTTTTTTTTTGGGATGTTGGTTGAGCTCGCAAGCGAGGTTGGGTTTTGGTGACAATTTTGAGTGGATTAAAGACACTCAGACAGGATGAAGATGACTTTTGAATTAGAAGTATATTTTGTCATTCCAGTGTAGTTATTGGCTTGCATCAATTTAAATCATCATTCTCACAACTGAGGATTGAATCGAGGATCGGACATATAATTCAGGGGTGATCTTGATATTTTGGATATATTGAAACTTTTTTTTTTTGATAATGGGCCAAATTTCGGGGGTGTTTTTGATATTTGTCCCAAAAATAATGAAAAAAAAAAAAGAAAAAGAAAAAAGGAAAAAGAAGTGAAAGAGGAATTGACGGATATACTTGGATCCATGATGGATCCGACAATAATTTGCCCAGGGAACATGTACTCCCAGTTCAAAACTTCAAATGACGTAGGATCGGTTTCCAACTTCCCCAAGTCAAACTAATCTTTTATCCTGTATCCATCTCGTTCTGACCCGACCCTATTATCTCTCCCTCCTCGATCTTTCACGGACAGGCATCGGAAAATATTGATCACCTCCGGCGGTTACACACAGTCACACACTCTCTCTCCGGCAGCAAATTTATACGCTTATATCAAGCAGGTATTCCTGTAGGACTCTAATTTGCAGGTCTTACCTTCATTCGGTCATCAATTTAGCTTTGGGTTTTATTCGTACATAATTTTAATCGCATTGAGAAAATTGGTTTCCGTTGAATTCATATTACCTATGCTGCTGATCAGAGTTTGGCTTTTTCCAATAGTGGTTTCTCTTTTGATGGTCCTTGTTGCTTTTTTTTCCTCCCCCCCAGGAATTGAGCCAATCTGATTAAACTACACGCCGATATGGATTTAGTTTCTAAGTACCAGGTAATTAGACAGTTTGGTTTTCAGTTTCAATTTACTGGGTTCTCATGAGTTGAATTGGAGCTGATATATGTTTAAATAGGTTCAAAATTTGTTCTTGACTGTTATTCTCATAAATCCTGTATAACGTGTATTTCATATCTGAGTAGCTGAAATCTATTAATGGTGCAGGGCTATGTTGGTCGTGTATTTGGGAATGAGAATTCTGACTCAAACGAAGATAGGTAAAAGAAACTGAATTCAAAATATTTTCTACTGATTGGGGGATTTTTTTTTTTTTTTTCCTGGGTCAAAATGTTGAAGTTTATTTAGCACTACTATATGTAGAGATTTCAAAATTTTCACTCCACCATAGTGTATCCCAACTTCACTCTTTAATATGTGGATTCTATCAACAGTTATGTTGAACGCTTACTCGACCGAATAAGCAACGGCAAACTAGCCGAAGATAGAAGGACAGCTATGGTTGAACTTCAGTCTGTTGTGGCGGAAAATCGTGGTGGACAGTTGGCCTTTGGAGCAATGGGTATTTTTTGTTAATTTCTAGATCTTTATTTGGTGTTGGATGGCTGGGGGGTGGTTGTTAATTCTTTTTACGCTTTTTTCACCTCTCCATGTTATTTTTATCTTACTCCTTGATTTATTTATGTTTCAGGCTTTCCAGTACTTTTGAGTGTCTTAAGGGAGGAACGAGACGATGTTGAAATGGTTTGAGTACTTACCTTTCTGCTATTTTCCTTGTGCTATGGATTCTATGGATTATTGGTTTCTTGATAATTCCGTGTGGTTTCTTTAGATGTTGAATTATTGAGCTCTACTTGGACTGTGCCTTTTCATTTTTGGAAGCTGTGTATTGGTTTTGCATTTAGATTGTGCTATCCGTCAATACATGGCATGATTCACTTCGATGCGGTTGAGCTTTAATAAAAGGCAGCAATTCCTATTTTCTTTCTTTTTAGTTGTATATCATTCCTGACATAGTAGATTGCTCTCATGTTTTGGGCGTACAGTAGTGCATTGTCATGTACCTCCACTAAGCGATACAAACTACGCAAACTTAAAATTTTATGCTCAGGAAGGACTGACTTTTTATGTGTCATAAACATTAGTGAGAAGGAAATAAAATTTCATTGCTTGACTTTCAATTTGGTTATAATTTCCTGCTTTATATTTCTTCATTAGTTTATTGGATTCTAATCTCGTAGCTTCTTATATGAAGGTTCGCGGGGCATTAGAAACTCTTATTAGTGCCTTAACTCCAATCGATCATAGCAGAGGACCCAAGAATGAAGTTCAACCAGCTCTAATGAATAGTGACCTGCTTTCTAGGGAAGCAGATAGCATTTCTCTTCTCCTGAATTTGCTGGTAGAAAAATTTTTATGTTGATTGTAATAAACTGCATGTGCTTGTATCCTATTCCTCTGCATTCTTTAATATGTTACTCTTGCAGGCGGAGGATGATTTTTATGTGCGATATTACACTCTTCAACTGCTGACTGCCCTTTTAACAAATTCTCCAACTAGGTAACATCCTTAGAATCTTCAATACAATACGGTTTACTATGGTATCATTTTGTTGGGATCCTGAGGAAAGATGTTTGTAATTATTCATGCCAGACTGCAAGAGGCAATTCTCACCATTCCTAATGGTATTATAAGGCTTATGGATATGCTTTTGGAACGTGAGGTATAAAAATATTTCTACGTGAATAAGTTCATATCTAGCTTTTGATACCTGCTATTGAAGAATGACTTACCTTTTGGTTGTTTTGAAGGTGATACGAAATGAGGCTTTACTGCTCCTAACTTACTTGACCCGGGAGGCTGAGGTTAGTTTAAATACTGGTCTCTTGCTTAAGTTACACCTTTTCCTTTCTTTTCTTTTTCTTTTTTTTTTTTTTTTTTAACAAAACAGAAACCTAATTTGTTTCCATGCAATTTGTACAGGAAATCCAGAAAATTGTGGTTTTTGAAGGTGCTTTTGAGAAGATTTTTAGCATTATTAAAGAGGAAGGGGGTTCAGATGGAGGTGTTGTTGTTCAGGTGGTATACAAGCCAAAAATCGATTCTGCAAATTGAGAACTTGTATTAATGTCTGGATGTGTTGTTGTACCAGGACTGTCTTGAGCTACTCAACAATCTCCTTCGTACTAATGCATCTAATCAGGTTTTTGTTTTTGTTTTGGGTTCATTCTCTTTGCGCCTCCGTTTCTCTGTTTTGCAACTCACCATTTCATTTGTTGTAGGTAATGCTGAGGGAAACGTTAGGCTTTGACCCTTTGATATCAATTTTAAGACTCAGAGGAAGCGCCTACAAGTTCACCCAACAAAAGGTTTGTATATTCATGAATGTACCTTACCCTCTGATTTCACAAAATTCTATCTGCTTGTCTGAAAAATGCTGGAGGCTGAATCATTTAACAGTTTGCTTTTTCCTGTTATGGAAGACGCACTTCTTATTTGATAGCTCTCCTTTTGTCTTAAATTCTTCTGCTTGCAGACAATAAACTTACTCAGTGTTTTGGAAACAATTCAACTCCTAATTTATGGAGGTCAAGAAGCCGATCCTAGCCGGCACACAAACAGGCTGACAAATATAACAGCCCTGGTCAAGGTTTTGCGTCCTCCTCTTTTGTTGCTTACAGAACTCTGTAGATATTGACATCGCATTATTAATCAAATACATTTCTTTCTTGTTGAAAAAGGTCTTGGACCAGTTACTGATGTTGGGTGTTGAAAGCCAATGGGCTCCGGTGCCTGTGCGTTGTGCGGTAAGAAATTTCGTCAATAACACTGGTTAATTTGTCTCTCTTAATGATAGTAGCTTGGACGTGATTGAAATGTGAAATTGCCAAGTATGGTCGATCCCAAAAATTCTGGTGGAAAAAATAGGAATGTTTTTGTTAATCACTTGTTCAACCATTGTTTTCTAACTCAACTCTCATGGACAATAATGTAAGTTCTGGCAATAGAACATGTTTAATAGTTTGGCTGTCGTATTATACAGGCACTACAATGCATTGGAGATCTTATTGCTGGTCATCCACAGAATCGTGATCTCCTTGCGACAAAATTACTTGGAGAGGAACCAAATGTAGAGTCTGCTTTGAATTCCATTCTAAGGATTATCCTGCGTACTTCCAGTGTTCAAGAGTTTATAGCTGCTGACTATGTCTTTAAGAGCTTCTGTGAGGTTTGCCTTTTGTAGTTTCGCACTTTAGTTTGTTTGCTTTTTTTTAAAACTTATTTAAAATGTGCCTATAATGGTTCACTGCTCAAATACTAGTATAAAGTTTTGTTGCCTTTATCAAGTTCTGTTACACCCCAGGGATTCACCGTCTTGTGTTCCCTTCAATAACATGTCAAGTTTGCCAATTGGATGCAGAAAAACCCTGATGGCCAGAAATTGTTAGCATCAACATTGACCCCGCAGCCACAGTCGATGACTTATGCGCCATATGAAGATGATGTTCACATGTCATTTGGAAGGTAGTATCCAATTTCCCTCTTACAGAGTACCTTCTCCTTGTAAGGTTACGCTTACAATGGTTATAGAATTAAAAAAGAAGTATGTTTTTAGATCTGTCAGATTGCCTTCGGTTCTAATTAAGGAAGTGGAGGAAGAGTTCATCAATAGTATAGCTAAGTGATTGGTAAAGTTCAAATTTCTGTAGGAGAACGTAACTTTTATGAATGTATCTTGGCAGTATGCTGTTACATGGTCTTACAATGAGTGAGAGCAATGGTGACCTCGAGGTATGTAACCCATTAGCATCTGAATATAGTAAGAAAAAACTTTTAAATTTCTTTTCTTCTCTGGTTCCATTCTTTTCCTGGCCTTCTGTATTCAAGAAAGAATGATGACCAGTGTTGTTTGAAATTTTCCTTTTCTCATTATTTTTCTCTGGGCTACCAACTGGTAATGACCGATTCCAAGCTGGGGAAAAGAATTAAAGAAACAGACAATAACAAAATCAAGCATAATTCTTGTAAATTTTGTTGTGAAGGATAACATTACAAGGATCTTGCTATTTGGGAAAATGCCATTTTTTCCCCTCTTCTCGTCTCCTCATATGCTTGGTTCTCACTTTTTGTATTTGTCTTTTTTACTCCACTTAGATTATTATCTGTTGTATCAAAACTATCAGGATCGGTTTGTTAATTATTTTGATTAGTGCAGACTTGCTGCAGAGCTGCGAGCGTTCTTTCTCATGTCTTGAAGGATAATTTACAATGTAAAGAAAAGGTATGCAACTTCAACATCCCCTCTATTTGTCTTTTTTTTTTTTTTTGTTTTTTTGAATAGTAAAAACTTCTAAGAATATATCTATTATCTGAAGCAGAATTTTTGTGAGTATGGACAATAGATACAGTAAAAGGGAACTTTAACGTTAGTTTTCTCCTGTTATGGAGCCATGCATTAACGCAGGTTTTGCGAATTGAACTTGAAGCTCCGGTACCAACTTTAGGAGGTTCAGAGCCTTTAATGCACCGTATGGTGAAGTACCTGGCTCTTTCCTCTTCTATGAAAAGTAACGATGGAAAATCAAGCGCTCGGAACACATATGTTGAACCAGTTATCTTGAAACTACTAATTGTCTGGCTCTCTGGTTGTCCAAGTGCAGTACAGTGCTTCCTCGATTCACGCCCTCACCTAACTTATTTGCTCGAGTTGGTTTCTAATCCAGCTACGACTGTCTGTACAAGGGGATTAGCAGCTGTGCTTTTGGGCGAGTGTATTATATATAATACATCTACTGATAGTGGAAAGGATGCATTTAGCATAGCTGATGCCATAAGCCAGAAAATTGGGTTGACATCGTATTTTCTGAAATTTGATGAAATGCAGAAAAGCCTTCTTTTCACATCTGCCAAACCGGCACTGTCCCGTAAACCATTAACAAGATCTACTGCTGCTAGTATGGCTGAGATTGAAGATGTTGACGAAAATGAGGCCCTTGATCAGAAAAATGATCATCCAATGCTAGTATCTACCTTTGATCTTCAGTTCGTCAACTTTGTGAAGCAATTAGAGGGAGATATCAGGGATAAGACAGTAGAGATTTATAGCCATCCTAAGAGCCAAGTAGCAGTGGTGCCTGCAGAACTAGAACAGAGGAATGGGGAAGCTGATGCTGACTATATTAAGCGGCTTAAGTCATTTCTTGAGCGACAGTGTCTTGAGATACAGGTATTTACTTGTAAAATTTTTAACGTCGTCATGATATTTGATCCACAGCTAATTTGACGCCTTATATTCTGATATAATTTTTATGGTATATTCTGATTTTGGTGGAGAATTTCTAGATTTTAGAGACTTTGCCAGTTTAGGAGGGGTCAATCTGGTTTGATGTTGACATGTTAAGCCTTCCTAGTTGAACTCTTTTTTTGCCTAGTGTTAATCTACTTGCTGCTAGGGGATACACACTATCTGTACTCTTTTTCTCGCCAGGGGGTATCCATTCCGAAGTAATTTCTGTTGATTAGTACAATAGTAGATCGATAACATTTTAACTTATTCAAGAAAACTGAACTTCTGTTCATCTTGTCAGTAAAGAACTTTTGCTCTACTGTTTCTCACATGAGTTCAATCTTATCTTCTTCGATGAAAAGGATCTTCTGAGCCGGAATGCAACTTTAGCGGAAGACGTAGCACGGACGGGTGGAAGCGGTTCATCCGGTCATGAACGTAGACCTAGTTCGGGAGCAGAGAGAGTCCAAGTAGAAACGCTTAGAAGAGATCTTTACGAGGCTTCTCAAAGACTGGAGATGCTAAAGACCGAGAAAAGCCAGATAGAATCAGAGGCTGAAACGCTCAAGAATTTCGCTGCCAAGATGGAAGCTGAGCTACAAAGTTTATCTAACGCGTACAACAGTTTAGAACAGACGAACATCCAATTGGAGGACGAAGTCAAAGCTTTACGTAGTGGCGGGAGTAGTGGCGGAGGCATGTCGGCCAAAGACATTGAGGCATTGAAAGCAGAAGCACGGGAAGAAGCTCAAAAAGAGAGCGAGGCTGAGTTGAGCGACTTGCTCGTGTGTCTTGGTCAAGAGCAGAGCAAAGTAGAGAGGTTGAGCGCAAGATTAATGGAATTGGGAGAGGATGTAGATAAGTTGCTGGAAGACATTGGGGATGATGACGATGCAGGACTTGGTGAAGATGATGAAGAGGATGAAGATTGATGACACATACTTTCCGCCTTCATTTTCTTGTTATTTTTGTTGCCTGTCTCTCAATGGAATGTGTACAGTGATTGTTTTGCATTAACATCTGTTGGACTGAAAAAAATTATTTTAAATTCTTTGTTGTTTCTCCGTTAAGAGGGTTTGGGAAGGGATCCCATCAGAAATTGCATCCGTACTAACTTTAATGATTCTACGATCTTCTCATGTAGAAGAAGGATACAGTCAAATCTCAGCAAGTGTTTCTGCTGGATTTCTTCGAATCTCTAATGCTTGAAGTGCGCTGTAAGCAGCCCCTCGGATCGTTCTGTAAGTTCATTGCCGTTGTAACGTTTATGTGATCCATCTAGTTATCATGAATCATCAAAGGTGTCAACTATTCATGACGCTTAATATCAGTGGGGAACTGTATGCAGGAAAAATAAACACTACCGACTACTTTGAATTTGCTGTCAATTTCTTGTTGTGAAAGTTCCATCAATATACAATAATTACAAAGGAAAGAAACACACCGCATCTATTATTCATGGATTTGATGTACTTTCTGTTTCGATTGTTTTCAATAACTTCATGTCCACATTTGTTAGGTGAGATGTCAATAAATCGTCTTAGATTTCCTGTCTTTAGTAAAAACCTGTTTAAATCAATGGTCCCTGAATGCCTCTCTGAAAGGGCCGGACAAGCCTGGTCAGTTGGCCACACTCTACAGATTGACGCTGCCGCTAATGATAGTATTTTCTTAATTATATAATTGATTGCTCCAACCAGGTTTTGAATCCTATTTTGAGACCGATAAATATGTCTAAACATTTTTCATCCTGGAAATCGCAACATTCTTATTGGTAAGGTTCGAATGTATGATCTGAAGATTAAAGCTTGGAGTCCGTATCCAGTGCACCCGGGTATACCGTATAGCCCCATCAAACACACGCGTTATACGCGCTTAACATTTTTCACCTTTACATTAAATACTGGTTATCTACCCATTTCATACTGGTTATCCACAAGTTGTAAATTGGTTATCCAGAAGATGTAAATTGATTATCCATAATGTGTAAACTGGTTATCCACAAGTTGTAAACTGGTTATCCAGAAGGTATAAACTCATTATCCATAATTCCCAAACAACAAAAACTGAGTGTCCCAATTTCTTGGTCTTTCTACTTTTTTATTAAACTGCTTATCCTATGATGTTATCATACTTATCTAATATTTCCTTGTTGATTATCCAATGCTCTGTATTGATTATCCAGGACTTTTGTACTGGTTATCCAGCCAATGTGCAACAATATCCAACCGTTTGTAATGGTTATCCAGGATAGTTATCCATTTGTACTAGTTATCCAGCCAATGTGCAACAATAGGCATTGGTTCCATTTGTACTAGTTATCCAACTTGTTACACCTGATTATCCGAATGTTTTATAGTGATTATCCAGTAAAAAAAAATTTGCAAGTACAGTCTTTAACCTGATTATCCATGAGTTTATACTTGTTATCCAAAACCTCAATACTGCTTATCCATATGTAACCAATGCCTATCCACCATGTGGACATAACAAAACAAGGATTCAGAGAGGGCTTCCAAAAATACATAACAAAAGAAAATATCAATAAGAAAATGGCTATCCAAACGGCATGTTCATTGGGGGGGCTTCGCCCCCCATGATAAACTAAATGACTCCCCCGGCTACCGGAATCACAGGTCACCAACTTGCCCCGGCTGCGCCGCCCCGCCGAACACGCCAATGTAGCTAAGGTAATCCATTTTTCGTGTGTGTGTAAGGAGAGTGTGTTATTGCGTTAAGAGGGGACACAAATTACTTGTATAAATTTCCACTTGTGATAAACTAAACGACCCGGCTGCGCCGATGCCCGCGGCTGCGCCGCCTTTCGTGGCTGTGCCGCCCCTATGCCGAATATGACAAATTTCATAAATAGTATTTAATTGAATGAGGGGAAGTTTGCCAAATGATGGAGAACAAAAAATGAATGAGAGGCAGCTGGATAACCAGTGTAAAGAATACGGACAAGGATATCCAAGAAAAATATGAAAGGAAAAAAATGAAATTTGGCAACTGGTTATCCAGCTGTGTGTAACTGGTTATCCATAATGTGCACACTGGTTATCCACTATGTCCATACTGGTTATCCAACAGGTTAATAATGGTTATCCAGCTGTGTGTAACTGGTTATCCATAGTGCCAACATTGGTTATCCACATGTGAACACTGGTTGTCCATAGTGTGTAGCTGGTTATTCATAGCGTGCATACTGGTTATCCAATATCTAATTTGAATGAATTCGTTAATTTATATATGCCGCATTTAAAAAAAAAGGATGAATTATCTAGCGAACTCACGCTATTCTAAGAGAGTAAAGTACACGCGCAGGGAAGTACACGGTGCCCCCAGATGTACCAGATAATTTGCCTAAAGATTGGTATGTACACTAATATGGTTTGACACTTTGAGATTATAAATAATATTCGCTCCGTCCCATAATTATTGTCCAGTTTGGATTTTCATTTCTAGTTCAAATTGTAGTAAAAGTGAAATCTCAAACTGGACAATAATTTTGGGACAGTTCAATAATAAATCAAACTTATTGAGGTTTTTCTTCAAAAAGAAAAGATTGAATGAGGTCCAAAAGGAAAAAGGAAACGAAAATGGAAGTAAAAAAGGTCGTAGTCATTCTGAATCTGAAAGGTGGTCACCTGCCTCATCCCCTCTGCCTCATTTCAGCATTATTAGCAATTTAGACAACATCAACAGACCAGAAATGAAAGAAGTACTCGGGCATGATGTGATTCGTACAATTTTTGGGGCAATTATATTAATGTCTTGCTCTCCCATCCCCATCACTCCATCACTTTTTAATGTTTATGTTACACAAGGTACACCGCATTCTACTACACATAAATATTAAAAATAAAAGAAATTCCGAAAACAATAATCCAATTAATTGGTTTTAGATTATTCTTGTATTACTTTTATCTACATCATTTATTTTATACATATGTTATTTAATTAATTTTTCCCATATGTACATTTAGAAGAGGAGTACCAATTATTTCAGATTGTACAAGATGGGATGCCAGCAAGGACGGAACTCTTAAGGGGCTCGGGAGTACCGAGCCCTTCCGGCTAGCCGAAAATTCTCACAAGGGTAGTCACAGTTAATCTTACGTCATATATATTCAACCATCGATCTTGATTATGAACATATAATTAGCCCCTCCAAGTCTGAGTAGCTGGTTCCGGCACTGGATGCCAGGATGGAGAAAAGAAAAGTACCTATTCATTTGAGACAGGTAGCTACTTCTTTTTTTTTTTTCTCCTAAGATTGTTTCTACTGTGTTTGAATCTTTGATAACTCATAGAGATCATAGATCTTCTTATTTCATGTCCAAACAAAGAAGAGAAAAAAGAAAAAATCAACGGTCTTGGGTTTTATTTTTTTGAGTAACGTTTGACCTGAGTTTTCATCATTATCTAGAGTTCGTAAATCACATTACAAATTTGGCAAGGCCCGCAGAACGGAAAGAGTGAACAAAAAAAATGCAGTTATCATTGTTTGACAAACGTCCCCCAAACTGTGTTAAAAATTCATTTGGTGAAAATAAAAAATAAAAAAATTCTATAATATAGGTTTGGTAATTGGTATTCAAAATTATTACGTCAACTAATACAGATTTTCATACATCGGATAAATTTCTTCTAATCACTGAAAATTCTATAAAAGCGTGTTAAATTTTTTATTTGAGTTAGATTAATAAAAATAAAATAAAATATTGATATGTTTAAATTACACCTCCACCAGGAGATCGTTAAAACAAAGCTGTTAATTGTAGACTCCCCAAAGGCCCCATCATTCCGTTTCTACCACCCTTTTTTCTTTGTGGAGCGACTAAGACAACGACCTAGTCTAATCACAAATTTGACAATATATATCTAAAGTCTAAACCCATTCCGGTTCCACAAAAAGGCAAAAGAAGGACAAATAAATAAACAGCTAATATCTTTACCCAAATCATCATAATTACAGCAATTGCATTAAGCTAAGTGGACCGACGCCTTTGGTTGAAATTTTATTGTTGGTGCGATAAGGTCTACCGTCCTTCCATGCACAAACTAGTAGCTAGTAGGAGAAGACAAGTGTACACTTTTTCCTTTGTATTTTTTGTTTTGGGAAGAAAAGGATTAAAAAAAAAAAAAAAAAAAGAAGAGGAAGAAAGTTTTCTAGTAATAATCATCATGCGAAACTGATAGTTCGTTAATATTCTTTTGAGGGACTGGAGAGGGGGTAAGTAGCAATTTATAGGGTTTAAAGAGAATAGATGATCCACCAGATATTGTTAAATTATGATTGGAATATAATATGATCTCTCTTCTTTTTTTTTTATTTGTAAGTTGTGTCGATTTAAAATCTTTTTATTTTCGCCATAGATTTACATTGTATGGCGGAATTTTTTTTAAAAAAAAAAGAAGAGGGAAGGAACTAGTAAATGTATGATCACCCTAACGCAGTTTCAGAAAGATGTAAATACATATTTGAAGACTTAATTTTCTTGCTGAGCAGTCACATCTCATTTAAATAGTGTTCATTTCCTTATTTTATTTTAGTCGAATAAAGTAAACTATTGTTTTAGTTCATTGTAGAAACTTTGAAAAAACCGAAATGATTGAGCCTAAATATAGAAAAGGGAGTTGCAAAACCAAAAGGGGGCTAAAAACACACATGGAAGATGCCTTGAAGCTAAGTTAGCAACCAAACCTTTTTCCAGAATATGATTATAACGTAACCTCAGCAGATGGTACCATTTCCCACAGTTTCACACAAAGTCATTTTGCCAACGTAACTGGACTCCACTTTACAAGCCACCATGTTTTCTGGCATAAGCAAACTGCTAAAACCAAACCTAGAATGATCATCTAGGTTTTCTTATTCTATTCTTATTCTATTCTTCATTATTCTACTCGTCCAAACCCACGTGCCACCACCGCCTTAGAATGATCATCAGGAACCCATTTCAGATTTGGCGCATCATGTACGAGAATACTTCCCCCGATTCTATTTATAAGGTGTATAAATTAGATCTAATTTTGATTTTAATTCGTATCTTATAAATACTTTTTCCCATCTTTAGTGTAAGGCATTTTAATTTGTCTCAAACTTTCACTAGTACAATATGTTTTTAATTCTCAATCAGAAAAACATACTATGTAAAATCTAGGACAAATCAAAATATTTTATAATAAAGACTAAAAGAAATAGAATTGGAGAAAATAACATTATATAATTCCGTAAGACTAATCCCAGCACTTCTCGGGCATCTTCAAATAAAAAGGCATTTGAAGTGCAAACTCCAAAAACAAATCACCCTTCAACCTTGAAAGGAACATTTGACCTCTTTCTAAGTGAAAACCAGAATTAAACTACTCTGCTTCAAACGTGGTTCTTCCGTAATCTGCATACTCCTAAGTCCTAAAAATGTTCTTTACACAGATCCCTCCGTCTACCTAATTTGGCTCTAATTGGAGGGTTGAAAAGGCCTGATTTATGATAAATAATTAAGAGATAGAACTAATAAATAAATGCTCATCAACATGGTGATGATACAAAGAGATATCACTGGGGAATCAAAATGAATGCCGGAAAATTGATAGCACCTTCTTATTCTCCGTGTGATGGTGATCTTCTCATCTCGCTTATTTCCCCTACTCTACACAGACCTACATCTATCACCATACTTCCCTTCTTCGAGTCCTTTACCCGGCAACAGTTTCTCCTTGGCGACTGCCAGAATGCAAACCAATCCAAATGTTAGTGCAACGGGGATAAAGCAAGAATGCAGCCAAATATAGGAGGCAAAATGAGAAGTCTAAGCTATAGTTCAACAAGGGTACCAAGTAACATATGATAAGCAGTCATGCCAAAATATGAGCCATAAATAGTTGAAATCAAGTAGAAAAGAATGTATAAGCAGTTTCAGTTTTGTTTTAGCAATTCAATTTGTTAGAGAACCAAAATTTAGGTTATGTGGTGCATGGTTTCAGGTTCAGACAAAGCAACAACAGTAAGCAGCTCAAGAGTTTCAAAGAGTAGGCGTTTACCCTGTCCCAGAGCTGTGAATCAGGCTTCTTGTGAACTTCTACTTTGACCATTTGAGCTGGATCTGCCATCTTCCATTTGCAAAATGGATGAGCAACATTATTCTTTACATACTCAGTCACCGTAGTGTTCCCCGAAGAATCCATTCTTGCCTTTGACAGGTGGAAGACAAAGGGCTTTTGACATGCATTCCGCATGACAGGCCTCGTGTTGAAAGCGTATGCTGTATAATCTGCTCTCCTATACCAATTCAAGAAAGTCCTTGATGGCATTTCTACCTCTCGTGGTGATAAGATGCCACGGAAAATTTGAATGGCATACCCCCACGACACTGAGATGGTCCAACCTCGAGGAACATCATAGCAAATGGATTGTTGCATGAGACCGGCTGAATCGAGCTTCATAGGCTCTAAAAGTCGCTGAAGTGCTTGAACTCGAGTTACATTAGGGAAGATTGGCTCCACCACATCAAGATGGTGCAATGTCACAAAAGGTGCTACCGGATGCGCAGCCAGCAAACCAAATAAGTTTCCATACACATCATACTGAATCACCAGTCACCACATAGAGTTAGAAGTAGTCAGTGAACGGTTGCAAAAATTAACAAAAACATCTCATGCTCCACGGAATAAATCAAGCCTAAAAATGTTATCAAATACGGAGCCAATTTATACAACCTCATGATTATAAAATGAAAACTGTTCCAAAGTACATTTATATAGCCAACAACCTCACATTCCTGGGCATCAGTTAAACATAATGAACAAACCTACCAAAATTGTCAAATCTAACACTATCATCAATCAACAACTATCATATATGCATAGTAGTTGTGGCAGTTGAGAAGAATAAATTTTGAAACTGCCCAGCCATTAAGCACAATTGGCAAGCATCATCATAGAAGGCTTCATCGACGGCAAGCAGACAATCTCTTTTAAATGCAAACTACACAGATACAACAACTGCACCTTTTGCTCTGTTACCAAAACTGGAAGCTGATTAACCATAAAACTAAACTGAAATGACCCTTGAAATAATAGTTCTCCAAAATCTCATTTCAGTTAGGAGTAGGACAACAACTCAGCAACCAAATCTTCAACTTTAATAATACATTTACCAATTCCCATATTTGAAAGTAGAAAAAGAAGTAAAAATAATACAGAGTTCATTACTCCATGACTCCACTGCAATAAAAACTAACCTAATGTAACATAACTACTCACCCGAAACACACTGTTTGGCCCCCCCAAAAAAAAAAAAAAATCCTAAAACGGAAACAAAAAATGAACTGAAACCAGAATTGGAAAATAATCCTGACCTGGTGAAAGCCGGGTTCTTTGGTGAGTGGGACACCGAGTTCAGCCATACAAGCCTGCATTCTATCATCGGAACCATACAATCCAGGATACCTCTGAATGCACCGATCCTGCATCTTCTCCAGAGCCACCGCCAAGGGGTAGCTAATTGCAAAACCACCGCCTCCATAAGCCATATTGTAAGAGAAGTAAATATTCTGCAAATGGGATTCACTCACGCTCCCAATATAATAATACTGATTGTGATCATACTTATTCAAAACCCTCACTAAATTCTCAGTCACAAAAACGGTGTCGTCGTCTCCCATCACGAACCATCTGACATTGGTCATCCCCAGCCTCAGAGTCTCCGATATAATCCTGGAGATCCGAATCGCCGACCGGTGGCCCTGCCGGTTGCTGTACCGGAACTTTGAGGTGTCGCCGGAAATCCTCAACTCAGGGAGACTATCATCTGAAGCTGTTTTAACTCGGTTATCCAGCCAAACAATCCCCCTCATCGTGTCTTCCTTCCACCATAACTTAATGTAATTTTTCCGCTTATCCCACAACTTAGCCGAGGCAGCAATGCCGAAAACTATGTGCTGCAATCCCGTTTTCTCTTCCTCTGTTTTGGCCGGCAACGAAGCATTTCTTTCTTCGTTACTATTGTGGTAAGTGTTGAGGACAACCTTGGAGATGTTAACATTGGAGTGAATGGCCATATTGGTGAAATCATAATCGCAAGATTGGGAAGTGTTCAAGAGCTTGAGGGTGTAAATCGCATAAGTAGCAGTGACGAAGAGGGATATCCAGAACATAAGTTTCGGCAAGACTCGATTTTGAGACGCCACCGACCCAATAGATGGGATTCTCATTTGATCCCACATGAATTTCCCCGAATCCTTGTGAGACCCTTTCATTTCCTTCTTCCTAGAACTTCCCAAAACCCCCCACCCCCAGAAGGCTGAATGTTCACACTGGATAAAGAGGGTGCTGGGAAATGGGTACTTATCGAGTTAGAAGTGTCGGGGGAATAAAAGAAGTGCAGGAGAAAGAGTTGTACTGAAAGAGTGAATCAGCAGGTGATTAGCATGGTAGGAGTGTTTGAAGTTTATCCCTTTTTTTCCCAGAGTCCTGAATTTTTATTTTTATTTTTATTTTTATTTTTTGCTAAAGAGCAAGAGTGCAGAGAAGACAAGAAATTTACAATTATCCTTTATTTTCTCCCCCCTTTTTAACTTGCTCCTACTTAAAGAATGAATCTTTAGCTAAAGTTTGAGAAATCTGAAGGGTTTTGGGAGAGATGGAAAAAAAGAGATCTGAAATGGGAATTAAACGGAGAGAATGGAAAGCAAGGAGGTGGCAGCCATGGGGAAGGAGGAAAGAGGAAAGGAGGAGCATGCAATGGTGCCAGGTTGCAGAGTTTCTCCTGTGAATGGGGGGACACACCGCTGCTCCGTATTTTCTACTAATAAATAATCAATCTAATAGTAATTATTAGTCACACTTACAGTAGTATAAACTCTGTCACCAGTCAAATACTAAATACTCCTGCCCATTTATTTAATTTATTATTTATTAATAGTAGTAGAATACACAACACTATTTGCAATAGTAACATTTATTAGGTGCGTTTGGTGAGTTTTGGAAAGTCATGGGATATAGTGATTATTATGATTATTGGAAAAACTCGAGAAACAAAAAAGAGGTGGTGTTTAGATAGTGGGTTTGAATGAAGAACACAAAACTCTTCTTTGAATGATTCTTAAGTTTTAGGAATAATCTTTTAACTTATTTACAATTTAACCAGAGATTAGACATCATCACCGATAATATTTTTTTTTAATTTAAATCGAAATAACTTGACTTTGGTACAAAACTGTGCTCAGATAAGAATCATACCTCAATTAAATATTATTCTTTTAAATCAAATAGGTATCAATACAACAATAGCTTTGCTTATGAACTCCATCATCGACAATTGCCTAAAAAAAAATTTTCTTTTTTGTTTATTCTTTTTCTGATAAAAGAAAAGGGCATCAATACAACAAAGAATTAATGGGATAGATAATCGTATCACAAGCGATGAATTCACCTCCAATTGTAGTGAACCAAATTCAAATCGCATAAAGGTCAAGACTCAAAAGTACTACAAGTCTACAATTTTATCATTCCACAATTCACAGCTAGATTAATTTGATCTTTTCAATATCAAAAAAACCATGCGTTGTTGATACTAATAGCCCTCGGAAAACACGCATTATGGTAGCTGTCCATTGCATTACGCATGTGGCCATAAAAAACGAAGGTCGCGGAGGATTTGAGGAAGCAACATAATTTTATAGTTTAAAAAAAAAAAATTCAAAACAAAGTAAGGAATTTAAAGGGATCATTGGCCAAGTGAATTGAGGCATATATTATTTTATATTAATACAAACCTTAAAGAAACATGTGGCGTGGGAGGTACTATATAAAATAAGATGATTGATACGTGGTAAGGTTAAGGTAGTACCAAACAGTCGTTTGAGCTATGTTGAAAGAAAGATCAAATTTTATATTCCAAATTGTCCCCTTAACAAATTTGATTTGTCGGTTCGTGTGAAAGTAAGTACATTTTTCTTTGTTTTTGTGAGATTCACGCACAAATATTTTTGTGAAGTTGGGTCGGTAGCTAACTAGCTTTGCTATACATGTCATGGATTCCCCAAAACTGAAAACAATTACAGTAATGGGAAATCAAAATTGAAATCTTGTACTCCAAATACTTACTTTGTTTGTTTCGTTTTTTATTATTTTTTCAAATTAATTTATTAATAACTCTCTCATCCCATTATACTTTTTTACATTTTTCAATACAAAAAACACTTAAAAGACATATTAAAAAAATGATCCAAAGATAAAAAAACAAAGCATAGTAATTCATTCCATAAAAACTTCAGTTAGCATACAAATGACTATTTCTTTATGTTGACTTTTTTTTTCCCTTCTTTGGAAAATTCGGTGAACTATATATATATATATATATATATATATATATAATATAAAATAAGTAAACGTTACGATACTATAGTGTAACATTCTTACCGTTTATGATATAAGGCAAATACAGTATACTAAAATTGGTTTATAGTCGTCATGATTCGTAATGTTCACTGTCACTAGTCCATATTCTTTAGTAAATACGTAATGATTTGAAATGTAATATTATCTTTTATGTTGACATTTTAAAATTAATATATTTGATTGAGAGATAATTAATCACATGATTTTACTTCTTTTAGAATGAAATTGTGAGACACTACTTAACTAACACAAGGTCCTGAGATGCTTGTAATAACTTTATTAGAACGAATCACTTTACATTGTAATCTATAGATAATGGAAAACAAAAGTCTACCTGTGTATAGAATCTTTGCAGAAAAGCGTGAATTTACTTCAAATTATAATAAAACTCTTATATTACAATTTCTAAAAAAACTCCAATTTGATAACGACAAAACAAAGTTTTGGTTATTATCGTGTACGTATATTGTTGTATCATTATCGTCATCTCATTCATTATCTGATTGCCAAATCTATGTCCATTCTTGTATAGACAGGAATAAAAATAATTCGGTCAACTTAATTTGAGAAAACGGAAAAACAAGCCAAAAGAAATCCAACCACCAGGTAAATCATTATCCTAATTTATGGATGTCGACAAAATTTACAGAATAAGAAGGGTTGACAATAGTCACACACAGCCAGTATTATATATAGTCAAAATGTATATTCCTGTTTTCCATTTGAGGATGAAGCGACAATTTAAAGCTAGCATAAGCATAATGTGTGCTGTACATAACTATTTTTCATCTCTTGTTAATTATTCTATTTTTTTTTACAGTAAATACTAGTATTACCTTTGTGCGGGCTATTTTTATGAGACAAATGGAGTAAGACAATTATCTCGAGACTAGAAGACCGGAAATTATGTTCTTAAAGCCATTTGATTCAAATAAATATAGTCAATATTCATTTGAGAGTTACTAATAGATATTTTTGCGAGACATGCTGTAGAATTTTTCTTTTCCTCTGGATTCTTATACTACTGTTTATAGTAGTAAATGTTTAAATGTTTAAAAGAAAAAATGCCCTATTTTCTATGCATTGGAACGAAAAAAGCGAGATGAAGCATTAAAAAAAGCCACACACAAACTAATAAAAGATGGTTAGTACTTCCTCTGTCCCAAAATTATTGTCCAGTTTGAGATTTCACTTTTAGTACAATTTGAACTAAAAATGAAAACACAAACTGGACAATAATTATGGAACGGAAGGAGTAATTAATAGGGGGATGATGATTTTATAAGATTTACTAGGTCACCGACACCCCATGTAACAAACAGTAATAATTCTGGAGTAGTACCAAGAGATGCCATAAACCTAGGCTAAAACATGTACGTATCATGGTTCGTGGATGAACAATACAACCAACAAGTTCGTCTTTTCAATTCGTAGTAGTACCGTTTAATTTACGGCAATTAATCAATAACAGTAAACACTTGCTAGCTGCTACATATATTAGTAGAAGTACTATTATGATTACAAACTAGAGAATTTGTACAGTGAACAACACATTTTGATATATTATTATTTTAACCGTAGTTTACTATTCCTTCTACTTAGAAATAATTTTCGGTTTGAAATAAATGGACAATTATTTTGGAATAGATAACTCAACTAAATATCGTTAATTAACTCTTATCTTTGTGCTTGTTTTAAAAAAATGGTCACCGCTTTTGACCAAAGAGGACAAAAAGACCCCCTAAAACTGTAAGGATATGATTGTGGAAATAGTAAATCTATATTTGATCAGCTCGATTGTATTTTGCTCTCAGATTTTACATGGCAGGATTGGAAATATAAATGATTAAACATCAGTTAAAGATCGATTAACTGATAAAGTTCCTTCCGAATTCCGATCAAGTGGTATTAGTGGAGCATTTTTGTTGGTTGGCTGTTTCTCTCACGGGCCCGATTTCGTTGGAAGCAGATCAGAAACCCAAATTGTAGTAGCCTAATGGGCAATGAGCCCAATATTATTTCCTTTTCGGGTTTGTGAACGGTCAAAACCCCGCCAGAAACTAGAAACCCCGCCAGAAAAATCATGAATGAAGAAATCCGCCACCACCACCGCCGCTGCCTCCGCCATCACCACCATCAAAGCTCTGGCCCAACAAAGACTCCATTCTCAGGCCCTTAAAGCCTCAACTTCACTACCCATTCCAAATCTCAAGCTCACAGATACCCTTTATTCACTTTTCATCAAATCAGGATTTGCACTGGACCCTTTCCTTTCTGCCACTCTCATCTCACATTCCTCTCTTGCCCTATCCAGTGCCTCGGATTTTTTCTCGCGCGCTTTGAACTTTCTGAATGAAACCCTTCACCCCGATGTGGTGGTATTTAACTCTATCATCTCTGGTCTGGCTCGGTTTGGCCAATTTGAGCCTAAACTTATGGTGTTTAATGAGTTAAGGCAAATGGGTCTGAAGCCTGATCCATATAGTTTTAGTTCTCTGATTAAAGGGTGTGATGAAATTGTGCATAATGAGATGGCTCATGGAGTTGCAATCAAACTGGGGCTTGTTAAAAATGTGTTCTTGGTAAGTGGGCTTGTGGAGAATTATTCGAAAACTGGATATTTGACGAGCGCTGAGAAGTGTTTTCGGGAAAACTGGAGTTTGGATTCCGTGGTTTGGACTTCTATGATCAATGTTTATGTTAGCAATGATAGGTTTGATGAGGGTAAGGATGTTTTGAGGGAAATGAGAGAATTGGGTATTCATTTGAATGAGTTTGCTTTAACTATCTTGGTTGGTGGAGTTGGCCAGGTGAAAGAGGGCCAACAAATTCATGGTTTTAGTCTGAAGATTGGGTTTTTAAATGGATGTTCCATTTGTTTGAACAATGCCATTATGAGTATGTACGGCAGAATAGGGTATAAAAATGATGCAATCAGAGTGTTTGAAGAAAATCCTGAACCGGATGTTGTGTCGTGGGCTGAGAGGATTGGGGTGGCTTATGATGGTATGGATGCGTGGGGAGTGTTCCAGTTCTGTGTTTCAAGAAACTTAGAAGTGAATGAATATACCATAATCAATCTGCTATCAAAGTTTGAAGGATCAAGAATGCTGAAGCTGGGAAAACAGGTTCATCTTTATAGCTACAAGAATGGTTATCTATCTTCGGTTCCTGTTTCAAATGCCTTAATTTCAATGTATGGGAATGTTTGTGATGTTGATGGAGCTGAACGTGTGTTTGGCGAGATGATTGCTCTAGATTCTGTTTCTTGGAATGCGTTAATTACCGGGTACGCAGATAATGGACTCACCAGCAAAGTTGTTTCTCTGTTCTCACAAATGCGTACACTTGCTTTAGAACCTAATGAATATACTTTGGCCAGCTTACTTGATACTGTTTCTGGCTCAAACTCTTTGGCATTGGCAATGCAAGTCCATTCCTTTCTAATCAAATGGGGAAAATTATCATATAGTTCCATGTTATCTTGTCTGTTGATTGCATATGGGAACTGCGGTGGAATTCACTACTCCAAGAGGTTGTTTGATGAGACTGATAATGGGGATCTGAAACATTGGCATGCTATGATTTGTGCTTTGGGACATGCTGGTAGACACAGAGATATTTTTCAGTTGTTCCAAGAAAGATGGAGCTCATCCTCGGAGGTTGACATTTTGGCTGTCAGCATAGCTCTCAAAGCTTGTGGAGTTCTGACTGAACTGGAACATGGTAGAATGACTCATTCTTTGGCACTCAAGTCTGGTATTCATGTGGACTACTTTGTAGAAAGTGCAATCATTGATGTGTACTGCAAGTGTGGAAGCTTAATTGATGCAGAGATGGCCTTTGGGTCTACAAGTAGAGACAACATAGCTGCTTGGAATGCGATGATGATGGGTTATGCACAATGTGGCTTCTATCATGAAGTTTTTTTTCTTTTCAGGCATATGTGTGAATCTTGTCTTCATCCTGATGAGATTACTTATCTCGCAATTCTTAGCTCATGTTGCCATGCCGGTTTAGTTAATGAAGCTCTTTATCATTTGAATTCTATGCTCGACCTACACAAAGTGACGCCGCAGCTAGAGCACTATGCTTGTGTGATTGATTTGCTTGGTCGAGTGGGACATCTAGAAGAGGCAATGAGCATCATTGACCATATGCCGATTCAACCTGATGCTCAGATATGGCAAATTCTTTTGTCAGCTTGTAGTATCCACAATAATATCGATGTAGGAAAAGTTGTCGCAAGAAAACTTCAAGAGCTGCAGCCTGAGAACAACTCTGGATTTGTTCTCCTCTCAAATCTTTATGCTTCAGCTGGCAAATATAATGCAGCTAGAGATTTGAGGTTGGAAATGAAGGAAAAAGTGGTTTCTAAGGAGCCAGGCTACAGTTGGATTCAAGTAGCATGATTTCGTCTGTTTTTTGTTGATTTCATCTCATTGCAATGTCAAAAAAGTGCAGATGTCCAGGATACGTGTGGAACTCCAAAGAATTAGAACTTGAAGGTTGCTTGCTACTTCTTGTAGTGGTATAGGGTGAGTTGTGTTTTCAAGTTTTAATGTTCATAAATATCGTCTTACGTCGCATACTGCAAAGAGAAGTTTTCAAGACATAGTGAACAACTTGTTCAGTACATATGATGTTGAGTTCTTGCAAAACCCCAAAGCTAATTTTTTCATTCCAATTGTCATTTGTCCCTTCATATGCAGTTCTGTAGATATTAGTGATACTGATCATAGGTGGAAAGAACTTTGTGGTATTTTTCCGAACTAAAACTAGGGAAGGAGCAATGTCTGGGTGGTGTAGTTGGTTATCACGCTAGTCTCACACACTAGAGGTCCCCGGTTCGAACCCGGGCTCAGACATTTTCCATTTCATCTTTTGTTATTGGCTGTGTTTGTTGTTGTGGACTGATGCCAATAGAATAAGACATTCCTTTTTATGTTAGTGAAATAACGAAGATGGATGAGACAATGGAAATGTTCATTCAGGAATATTCAACAGTTGCACAAAATTGATCTACTGAAAACTGCAATTGCAACAGATGGAAAACTACTAGACATGTTAGTTAAAAACCACAGAGCAACCACATAGTTTTACATTGCCTTCATCTCATGCTTTCCTCATCCTTTCGTTTAATTTCCCTTCAGAATGGTGGTGGTGATGCAATGAGGCCCTTGACAGCATTGTAGCAATGGAATGCAGAGCATTTGCTGCGATTCTGGATTTTATCTGACCCCTTCTGGGTAAAACTGGCCTAGTACCCCTGAAACTTGTCATCGCTGCTGCAGAAACTGTGCCGAAATGGTGATTCATCTTGCGGGAGTATTTTCAATTTTGAAGATGAACAGGTATGTGATTCTCCTTTTTGCAGATCTTGGGGAGGGAAAAACAGTGGTTGGATTTGGTTGTTGGTGGTTATGTTTGAGGGGGGGTTTTATATAGGGGGAGAAAAGCCAATGATTTGCGGCGGCGGGTGCTGGGAAAGAGTTTTATCCACAAAGGTAGTAGTAATTGGGGTGGCATTGCCAGCGAGATTATATGGCTGGCAAAAAGATTCTTTGAGCCCTCAACTTGCAACATAATCAAATGACTAGATATAATAATTAAAAAAAAAGGGTTGGATTTGTTGGATTTGTTCACTGCTTCTTGAATGAATGAAAATTGAAAATTGATGATCAGACCCACCAAAATCTTCTTTCCCTGTTTGTCGCGGATTTGGACCCTTTTTTCTTCTTTGACTTTTGAAACCTAGTAACAACTAACACATGTGATCTGGAGTCTTGGACTTAACAAAATGAAATTTTTGCATTCTTCAAACATAGTATCAGTATTAGTACTACGTAAAAATTGTTCTCTATTTTGAACTACTTTGGGACAATCCTCTGCTCCTCTTTATGAGTCATTAACATTTGATCGAGTTTCGTAAGTCGGGATTTCGTTTTCATGGGTTAACATTTGATCCAACTCTCGAATTTGAAGAGGGTCATAAGTCATGACCGATTAGTTTTAACTTTAAACACACTTTTGCCCGTAACGAATTGGTTTTGAAATGGTCATTAACAGATACAAAAGATTTATTCTGGATTACCTAGTAATCCCAGTAGGTGGGGGAGACTTGATCATTAGATTAATAAGATGATGATAGAACCTTTTGAATTGTGGTCAGATTTGGTTGCCTCCGGTTTTGTAAAATCTGCCAGCTATGTGGTTTTGTAGATTCAAATGCTAGGGGAAAGATTACAACATCAATGACGGAAACAGCAGCTTAATTGTTTATCTTTTTGGTAGTATTGTATAGTAGTAGTACTCCAATAGTAAGCATCTTTTGTTCAATGGTGGTATGCATTTTTTTCGGGAAATGACAACAATCAGCTGTCCTCAACCATTAAAGAAACAAACAAAAAGAAAAAAAAAAGCAGCCTTGTTTTGCACTTACTCCACTTTTGTTTCTCTCTAAAATTATTGGCATAGTCCAAGTCGAGTCAAGTAGCTCGCTCCTTCCCAACATACAGAACGATACTACTTAAAAAATGGATGGCACTATAGCACTGACGTCAGGCGTTACGACATTGTAGAAAACTTACAGTGGTAAAACAGTAAGAAAGACCTGTAATCCCATACCCTTCTTTCCTGTTTGTGGGGGTGGGGGTGGAAACTGTTGAGGATGATGATTAGTGTTTGAAGGGTGTTCAATTTAGTAAAAGATGCAAAAAAAAACCAGGCAAGTTATATTCCATAATTGAACACTGAAAGGGAACAGCATAATATCTTGTCTGTGAAATTGGTCAGATTAGTACATAGTACATGTGAACCTACGAGTTGCATGCATGGAACCGTAATAAAACTTGTAAGAATCTGACAATTGTCAATCCCAAGGAATGCTAAATCAATAATAGGGGGTTATACAAATAAGGATAATGAATTTTAGATGCATGGGGGAGTTGAATCATTGGCATGAGTCAACACATTTGAGTTGGCATTGCCTGCCTCTCCACAGGCATTGCTGCGCCAAACTGCTCGGCGGCCTAACCAAAATCAGCTACGAAATATTCAATCAGAGATACTTGCTATATTTTGTTTTGAAGGGAGCATCACAGCTAATGTTGTTTTTACATCTAGTGTGATAGATAATCAAGCCCTTATTGAAGTCCTATATAAATGCCAGTACTGAAGCATCAGTCCTTACTTCACTTTTCTCCAGTGAAACTACAAGTTTTAGGTCAGAGGAAAAAAAGAGTGTAATATTCTGTTCTTGTTTGATTAGAGATTGCAAAGATGAGAAGCAGGGTGAATGATTCTAAAGCTGCCGCATATGCACATCAGAGAAGTAAAAGCCTGGGTCAAAGCGGTTTATTGATCCCTAAGCGAGGAGCAGTTAAGAGTAGAATAGCAGCAAAAGCATTGCAGACATTTAGGTCTGTGATTGCATCTAGCCAAACACCTTCAAGATGCTCGAATTCCTCTTGCTGATCTCCCATCTTGATACAGTTGATTGATGTTTCGAACTTCTACAATTTGGATTTTTTTTTTCTGTACTGCTCGCTGCTCAGTGATGGAATGTTGTGCACTAGAGGGATAAAGGCTTAGATTGATAGTTTTTGACTTCTGGTTCTTCACAATTAGATTGAGTTTCTTTTGACATCTTGTTATTAAATTTTGTCGCTGTGAAACTCAAACAAGTCAGTTTAACTGACCTGGTTATTTTTTTTTTCATTATGTAAACAAGGCTGAATGTTTTACCTCATGATTCTTTATTCCCAGATGTATAAATGTAAACTGGTTTCTCTTTTGAACTGATACTAATACCTGTTGAGTTCTTCAATACATCCACAATGCTTCCCATGTCTTATTCATATTCATTTTTCAGTCCATCGCTTGGAAACTAGTTATTTTGCATCAGATCAGATGAAGTCTTTGGGGGGTAACAAGTATCAAGGTTCCAAAAACTAGTATAAAGGCAAATTTGGTTTGGCAATAAAGAAGAAATTCCTTTATTATATACCAAGCTTAATTGCTTCTAAAGGATCTAAACAAGAAAGATTCATAGCACAAATCAATAAGTGATTCCTTTTTTCAGTCACAAGGGAAAGTGGGACACTCATTCTCTTGAGTTTCTACCAGACATATATGTAGTTTTATTCAAGTTATGAAATCAGAAAAGATCAAGTGTTGAGAAACAGAGGTTTCTTAATTTCTTCAATATGGCAGCTTCTACAGCATTATCTTCAGGAATTGCCATAAGACAGTTTCATTGCAAAGCAATGAGGAGGACCTCGCTCAGCGTCTTTCCCGAAAGCACTATCAAGCTTCAAAATGCTAAAATCAGGCGTCTGCCACAGCCGAAATTGAATGGAAGGATCCAAAGAAGACCATTCCTGCCATTGGCTTTGGCTTCAGACGGTTATGACATAAGTTTAAATTCAGCATCTGAAGCGATTACGCAGTTCTATGATGGCATTAATGAGAAGAACTTAAAGAAACTGGACAAGCTGTTATCTGATAATTGTTTCTGTGAGGATTTCTCCTTCATCAAGCCTTTCCAAGGGAAACAGGTACCTCCTGAGCAATCATATCATTATTTCAAGAACTTTGCAAATGAATTTGATTTCATTAACGTTCTTATTCATCATCGAATAACCCTCTCTGTAATGTACAAGAGGTTACATTAGCAAGAGGTAAAGAAGTCATAAAATTACTAAACTGGTCTTCTAAGGCTAAGATTAGACTATTCGAGTTTTTCCTGACTGAAACTACATCAGTTCCTTTAGATCAGAGCCTTATATGTATCTCACCTCAAAATCTCTCATCTAACAGGATTGTGGAAATTTCAATCATACTAACAAGATTTTCCAAGTAATTGCAGGAGTTGATGAAATTTCTCGAGCAATTAATCGCATCTATGGGCCAGAATATGGAGTTCAAAGTTGATCATATTTGTGAAGGTGATGATCTGACCGCTGCAGTTAAGTGGCACTTAGGTAATAGCATCCCAAAGCTTCACTTCATTCAATTAGGAAAATATGACACAGAACCTTATAATCATACACAAACAAACGAATTCATATAAGATATCAACATGAATGCAGAGTGGAAGAAGAAACAGGTTCCTTTCACCAGAGGATGCAGCTACTACGAATTATCAAGGGATAGAGAAAGACTCCTCATCGAGTAATAAGAGGCTAAATTTTGTTCTGTAATGTGAACAAAAGAAGCAAATTTCACAGGAGCTGACCTAGTCCTCAAATTTGTTTGCAGGAGAATTCAAGTTGTTATTGAGTCACCAATAAAACCTGGAGCCTTATCATTGGTACGCAATCATCTTTTCCCTTCTCAAGATTTTATCACTTCTTGCACACATCATTTGCTCTATAGATACATAACCGTTTTTCATCAGCATTACTAACTTCTTTGAATCTGTAATACAAAATTAGGCACTACTCAAGATGATTACATCAATTTTTGATGCTTTCCCAGAGCCTGCAGAGCGTATGTCAAATTTCCCCCTCATTCAAAACTTTTACACTTGTCTCATTTGTGTACCAAGTATAGTTTTCTAATGACTAATTACATGCTTTGAGACTTTTGCAGGGTTCCTAAAAAGTCCCAATGTCATATTTCAGCTGTTACTAAAGGTTTACAACATCATTGCCCAGCCAATTCTAAACCCAATATTGTCATGGTACATCAAGTTATGGAGTTTTATAGTCAATATTATCAGCTTCACTCTTAAGATCTTGAAGTACATCGTAAAGTTCATAAACATGTAAATGGCCAGAGAATGCCAGATTTCTTTGATTCTTATCTTCATTACAATCACTAAAGCAAAGATTCACAGCACAAAGGTCTTCTTCTATAAACATCAACACTACCAACAAAACTTGCAATCAGAGCAGCTATTTACAATTCAAGGGAAAACTCGAAAAAGCGACCTTACATCATCAACATTCAATCATCGGTGCTGTCGCGCTTTAACCACGAGTCCAACAATGTCAGAGCAACTAATGGTCCAACAACAGGTGGAAGTGGAGGTGGCCTGCTAAAAGCAACAATAGGCTCTGCTGGATTGGCTTCCTCCTTTAGTTCTCTTCCCCCGGCCGGATCATCAGTCTCTAGTTTTCTTGGAATCAAGGTGCGGACTGTCCAGTTTATTGAATCAGAATTCTGTTTAGTCTAAACATTTGTAGAAAGAATACACATAAATGAAGATTTGAACTTACCCAATCTTCCCTCTGAAGAATGCATACTTCCAAATTTGCTCACAATTCGCAACGGAGCTGTAATTCTCGGCATATGTGTAAAAGATGCTTTCTTTATTCTTCAGCAAAGTGAATTTAACTGCAAAAGCAAGTACAAGATCAATAGAAATGAATTTGGTTTCAACAATCAGATTCAAGCACACTGATCACCTCAACAAATTCATAGCAATTACAGAATTCAATGAAACTGGTGACTTCTTTCACCGAAAACAGAGAAGCCCAACTTTACTAGTAGTAATAAAATTCAGAAACGTGGATATGCATCACTAATAATAATCCACCAATTAATACGATTCTTCCTCCAATTAGCTTCTTCTATATGATAATACGAGACAAAATCAGAAACAAAACATTCAGGAATCAAGGCAACCAGGTTTTTCATTTCCCCTTATCAAAACTACCGATGACAAAAGCTTCGAATTCTTAAAATCATCAGAATACGACAATCAAACTAATTTGAACTGTGAAGAGACAGCATTTTTATCAATAATAACTTCCAGAATAATGGTAAGAGCAAGGGAAACAGGACAAGGATGAATAGTTTACCTCGTATAAGTTATGGGTTTTTCCGAAACTAAATGGATGGAGATTGAAAAGTTGAGGCCTGAGTGTCATTTTGTGACGTGGTGATGTAAGCTAACATCTGACTATCGGGGAACTGAAGAATGTTCTTGAAACTTCCCCCCTTCTTTCCAATAGACCGTCAGAGCACAAGTTTTTATGGGCTTCATCTGAGGCCAAACTGAGATTGGATTGGGCTAATTGTATAAATCTCAGGCCCGTTCATTGTTGCGTATGGGGAGTAGTCACTATTGTTCACGGTGGACACCCTGTAAATATATAAAAAAAAATTCTTTTATACCGTTTCACAATTTTTTTCAATATAAAAACAAATACAAATTCGAATATTATAACATACAATAATCTTACACAACTTTGTCATTAAACAATTGAAAGCAAACAACATAGTATTCGCCATATATATATATATATACCTTAGCCGGACAATCTCAACAATGATATGCTCCCTTATATCTCAATTATAAGGTACGAATCGATACTGAAGTTTGTTCAAATTTTTTTCCTGACAATCAAGGTAGGAGGAAATTCAGTTGAGTATTTTGAAAATAATGTCCCAGTCAGCATTGCAAACAGCTTTTGAAAGAGTAGTAATTAAGAGCTGTTGTTCCTTGCAATTTATTGAATAATTAGTTATTTTATCATATCATACTGATATACTCCCTCCGTCCCATAATTATTGTCCAATTTTACTAAAATGAAAGATTTTATTTTTAGTCAAATTTTACTATATTTTACCTTAAACAACCGGATATACCCCTACATAAGTAATTGTTTAACCACTAAGATTTTATGGATAATGTTTTTTACTAAGGACAAATGTTTAACTTGATCCGTAAAAAGTCAAATTGGACAATAATTTTAGGACAAAATTTTTTGGGCAAAGTGGACAATAATTATGGGACGGAAGGAGTATAATTTATCTTTCACTAAAGGATGATTATTTTTGAAGACAGCGAGAATTGTTATTTACTTGTATTAATATATTGGATCCAAGTGGAATACGTCAAATAAATACATAACAGTAATGATTTTTGTTAATATTATTTGTTTATTGTTGTTGTTGTAATTTTTGTACTATTAAGAATATAAAAAATTGTATGTCAAGAATGTTGGAAATGGATTGAAATTTCGAAAAATAATACTAGTACTATTTTTGTCCAAAAGAATTGTCCACAGAAGAAGAGTACACGCTTGCAATATGTATCTGTATGTAACCAAACACCCCTTTTCTTCTTGGCTTGAACTCCAGTTCCGACGTTTGGAACTAAGACGTGAATGTCACTACTTACAAACCATTTAGTTCTGAATTCATTCAAGTAAAATTGCACTTTGAACTCTACAACAGAAATAATTAGTTTTTTCTTTTTCTTGAAAGAATACGATTTTCATTCATTTACTGAAAATCGTCCAGTAAATTATGATTTAGAGATATGCATGATTAGGAGTACTCATAAATTACTAATTATTAATAGATTTTGTTTTATCATCAGTATCATATATTGTCTTAGATTTATGTATCCAAACGGTAATAATGTTACATTTTGACGCTTGTGGTCTATAAATACGAGTACGCAATCCACTCCTGCAGTGAGTTACAACATCAATTGTTGTGCCTTTTTTTTTCCGATCACTTTCATCATGTAGTAATTGATTTTCAATCCACTCTCTTTTACGTCATTTTCAATTGGTGGTGAAGCTCCATTTAGTTCTGTAAGCATGCACTTTTCCATTGTTATTAGTAGTATTCTGAAAGGCTCCATGAGTTTCAAGCCCCAATTCCTCCTCTCCTCCTACGACTGCAATGCAAAACTCAGATTAAGATTTTCTTTTTAATGAGTTAATTAGATCCATAAATCCAGAAGTTATTGTGTTTGTGTTTTTCTATTTCTACCCATATTCCCCTCAATGAATTATCTGGAGTTTAATTTATTTTGACTGACACGAATAGAAATAATAAAATCTATTAACGGGACAGACGACATTTATGTCTTTTTTGTTTTTCTTTATTAGACCAAATAACCAAGACGCCCTAAACAAAAACAAAAAAAAAAAAAACACCAATAATCCCTAAACAACAAATAACGTAGTGTCTACAAGCCATACATTATACCAGTATATTACTCCGCCTGTGGATTGTGTGTACCGAATCATTAAAGAGAATATTAAAAATTATTTAATTGACCAATTAGATTGTTTATTAGATGAATGAAACATAATTTATTATAATTTTTTAAAATCATTTTTCCATACATCTATCACTACACAAAAATAGAATGTCTTTTTCATCATTCAGTACTCAATACTGAAATGAACTCATCCTACAAAATTCACGATCGATTTTTTTTCCCACATTAAAATTTCTTAAAACGTTCGTTTTCGTTTCTTTTATCCATCACTTTTCTTACAGAGAAATAAACGTAGACGAACATAACCTCAGCTGTGTTAGCGTTGAATTAAGGTGCTTTTCACTTTTCTTGGCTGTATCAAACTCAGGAACCACAGTGTTTTAGTGGGTGCATGGGCATGGCTTCAATGAGTTAACTAACTAACCTCAAACAAAACAAATTAATTAATTCTCAAAATAATAATTCAATTTCTAAAGCATAATTGAACATATTAGATTATCATGCGATACAACCGGAGTACAATTAAACTCATCCTTTCGATGTAAAGGATATGCTTGGTTTTATATCACGACTCTTAAATTGATGTCTTTTCAATAGGATAATTCACGGTTTTTGATTTATGTCTTTAGCCTTTGTATATACTACTATATAGTATTTTCTCTATTCTTAAAAAGTGGTGCATATTACAATTTGTGAATTCTAACAAAAACAGTACAAATATCAAATTGTAATGTGAATTATTTTCTAAGATGGAATCATGGAAGGAGTAGTATATCTTAATTTATTTGGCAGGTGAAAACATTTTAACGCAAATTCATTTCCCCAGTTAGTTTTTTTCCCAAAAAAAGAAAAGAAAAGAAAAGAAAAGAAAGCTACCAAAGTAACACATCCAATACTGTTACATCATCATCTCACCATCTTGGTCAAATCCCACAATTTCTGATCAAATAAAGTTCCACTAATCATGCATAATGAAAACCAAAAGATATACAGATACAGTCATTAGAAAGATGCCCTGGCATATAGTTTTCTGTGAAAGATTTGATGGAGTTTGCATTATTAATTCAAGTGTTAATCAACAAAGTATTCAACATTGATTGAGCACCATCCACATAATCCCCTCTGTAAACCACAATTTCATCATTTGCAGTCAAGAAAACTTTTTGGGCAAAAGAGACAGCTAGTAGTACTATTTCTTAGTTATAACATTAAGTTGTTGGATCGAAGCACAAGGCATCAATCAATAAAGGGATGATTAGTTAAAACAGTAGTAATAGGATTTGCCCCACAAGTTCCCCTCCAACCGGGTCAATTCCCTATCCATCAACAGTAATCACCAATTAGTATACCATACTTAACAAAACCTTTTCTCAGGGGAAATGACCATTTCTTGGATCCAAAAAATGCAAAAGTAGGTAAGCAATTTATTCTAGGATCTTTAGCATTTTGATTCCATTACTTCTTAACCCTTAAACTCAGTCAAACGGTAATTGTATCTAAAAGACTACAACAATTAAGAAAACTAAAGGGCATTCATGATTTTAGTAGAAGGTTTATGGTTCGACTCTCGAGTCTCAACAACTGCAAACATGAAGTACCTCTTTCCTCTTCCCTCTCTTCGAATCTTCGTTTTTGAAATAATTATCCAGATTTAATTTTAATTTTTGTAATAAAAAAGAAAAACTAACCGAATTATCATTTTATGACGGAGAGAGGGTAGGATATGAAAAGTTATGAAATCTTTTTAATACATATTTTTATGAAACACATAAGTCTTTGGGGAGGGGATGATGAATTAGGGAAATTTTGTTTCTCTTCCTCATGATTGGATGTTTGTGCTCCAAATCCTCCTACTTGTAGGTTTCCCCAACGTTTCATCCAATTAATATCTACTTCAAGTCTGTTAGATTCGCTGTTTATCGAGTTCTATACTTCACTTAGAGGACGAGAGTGTTGTGATCACTGTACATGCATGGTTTGGCAATGGGGAAAAAAAGAGAAAAAAACAAAAACAAAATGCTTTTTGGCAGACAAATCCCCAGCATGATTTAACCCCATTAATGATCTCTTTTGTGCTCTTAACCAAAGTAGCTGGTGGATTCATCGTTGTTAATCCATAATTAACTGTCCGTTGCGATTGACTGTTATGCCCTAAAATGGAACGACTTGCATGGATGTTTATGAGTTGTACATCATAGGTTCATAGACTAATGATTAATTGTTTTATAAAGTTACTTTTTGAGCTCTAAAATTTATCTGTCCTAATTAATTACTATTCTGTACTACAACAACTTATGTACGTATCGATTACTATTATCTTTCTTTACAGTGATTAAGGTCCCATTGGTGAAGTGAAGTTTTTTGTGTATTTGAAGGTCCCATTGGTGAAGTGAAATTGTTTAATCGAAAATAGGGTTTTGTGCATTTTAATTTGAAGTACAATACGGGTTGAAGGAACAACGATTGATGGAGAAATATTCCCTCCGATGGAGTATAAACCTTGACCTGCTAAAGAAAAGAGGGAAACGGTCCTCTTATGAAATGTAATAAATACAAGCGAGGTTATAGTTAAGGTCTTTGAATTTCTGTAAATGAAAGATATGAAGTAATGATATTCATATATTGACTGTTAAAACTATCTTGATTTTTTAATCATTCTTTTCTTTTTTTTTTTGTGGGAAACAAACTATCTCGATTCGTTTACAATAATTAAGGACGTATATACTACTTGCTTCTTCTGCAAAAAATAGTTCATATTATAATTTGTTATTGATATTGTTTTAAATACAAATCAAAATCTACAATATGGACTATTTTTTTTTTTGAAGATAAATTATATAAGATTTACTTATTCAACTGATATCTCAAGATCAAAATCATGCTTAGATAGCTAATACTTTTTCCCCAACAGAAGTGTAAATCACTTTATGAACCATTGGTTTCCACCCTAATTGAGATTAAATTTGTACCTTTCCAAAAAAAAAAAAAAAAGAAGAAGATTAAGTTTGTATTTAGTCTCTGTCTCCCATTTGTTTTAAATATTGTGATTAATGTTATAAAGATTTACCATAGGAACATAAGCTACAGAGCAAAACAAAACAACTTTGATATTTTGAAATGGATTTCTTATTTTACGACATAAAAAGTTTTCAAAATAAAATTCTGTTTAGTTAATATGAAACGGGTTGGAAATTCTCGTTCAATTCGGGATAGGTAATGCTTTTCGAACTGATGTATAATTTCTTAAGAAAAAAAAAAAGAAAGAAGAAATGGATTGATTTGTTGTGTGATCATTATAAGTAAAAGGATAAGTACTAATTAAAAAAGTTTAATAACCATCAGTAAGTGTTCAAAACAATTTCTAAATAATTGAGCTATTCGTTACTTTTTGAACAGCATTTGCATCTATAAAAACCCTACACCAAAAAGTACCATCAACAAAATATCTCATTAGGTACAAAAATTAAAGAGAAAACATCAAACCAAAACAACAATGAGCAGACGTGCGAGTTCTGGAGGTGGACAGAGTTCCTTAGGCTACCTCTTCGGTTCCGATGATAAGAATCCGAACAATACCACATCATCTCCACCGCAACCGCCGGCGACGGCTAAACCGGTCGTTTATTCACCACCGTACGGAATCGACACCGGCGAGGAGGAGGAAGTTAGTACTACTGCGAAGCCTCCGCGCAACCCTTCTTCGCCTTTTCACAACCGAAGCCCATCTAACACTATCTCCGTGAGTATACTATACATTTATATATCAATTACTTACCATTTTATTTTCTTCAAGATTAAGTAATTATGAATTATGTATATATAATTTTTAAGTGCATCTTTTGTTGTTGCATAAATTGGGATATGAACTTGCGAGTTATTACAATGATTTTCATTTCAGAGTCGGCCTTCTACCAAGGTTAAATCAGTTCCAGGTGGAGATTCGAGTCTTGGGTACCTGTTTGGAGAGAAGTCCTGAATATAAAATACAGCCCTGATCTTCTCTCTTCCATATACTCCATTTGTCCCAAAAGAAAAAAATATAGTTCATATCGATTTTTGAACTTTGTACTAAACTTAGTACAAATGTTGAAACTCACTATGAACTTTTTTTTAGGACAGAGATAGTAGTTTATTTGTGAAGCCTTGCGTTTTGTACCATGTCAATGTTCGTGTGATTTGTATCGTATTTCGGAATTGTTATGTTTGTGATTTCGTATTTGTAGTACCTACAACGTGAAATTTATTGGATTTAGCAGCGGTTTTGTTGTTCGTATTTGTCAAATTATAAATTTGTCTTTAAATGATTGACATTTTAATTCGCCAAGAGAATAATTATCTTTTACTTAATTTATATTTGTCCATTTTGTTATAGATTGTATACTAAACCTTTCATGTGCATTCTTTCATAACAACGTCAACGTTTTTAGTCGAAGAAGATTCCAGAGGCTCTGTTAAGCTTCCGTTTCCAATCCTAAACCTTTGGAATTTCCCAAGTGATTGGGGTATAGAGTCTCTCTCCCTAAAGCATTTCTCTCGAATGCTTAGATTGACTATTACTAAATGTGTGGTTAGTTTTCAACCGATAATGTTTTTAGTTAGTAGCTACTTTTCGACCAAAATTATCAATCATATCAATCTAAATATTTTACTGCTAGTTCGGTTAGGTTTTAGTTTGTGAAATAAAACAAAAAACTGAAAAGTTACGACCCGAACTTAATTCAATTAATCTGGAACAAACTAAAAGGTATTAAGAAATTAAAAGAATATGAACCTTGATAAATTTTTATGAAAAGTTACGTTGGTGATTTGGAACTTCATTCTTGTAAGTTTTGATCCGTATTCTTCCAATTCCTAATGTTTACCTATAAATTGTACTATTACAGGTTTTTGGTAACCTTTTTTGCATTCTTAAATTCTTAAGAATAAGGAATAATTGCAAAGTTACTTGTTCTTGTGCTTCTTCTCGTATCTTAGAGACAAATCACCAATCAAACATGATTTTGTAAAGTAGTAGGATAAATATTATCTTAAAATAGTGATTACATGCTTAAAACACATATAACCACTGTGGTATTTTCCCAATATTATCTTTAAATATTTTTTCTCATAAACTCATCTATGCTTTGTTTTGTTCTTGTCATATTCTTGTATGATTTCTCCAACTACAGATACTTTGTATACTTCAATCTTAAGAAAATGTTATAGCCTTGAAATTAATATAAGTATTTAACAATACAAACATCAAAAGCAGTGAAAAGTAATAAAGATGAAATCTTACAATATGAAGATTTTTGGATGTGTTCAAGTGGTTTTCTCTACGGTTTAGTTCCGTAGTCAAATTCTAAAGATAGATCTTAAAGATCTGAAGAATACACAAGCGAGTATGCAGCAAATAAGGTTCTTTGTGTTAAATATTTTCTCTTGAATTACCAAATTCGGAATGAAAAAATCTATATAATATATTTTTTTTAGGTGACGGCGGGAACCCCACCAGAGATGGGTAAACCCACGCCCACTGCAATAGCCTGCAAACCACAGTGGGGAAGGGGGTAAACCACCATAGGCAAGCTCAGGGTGACAAGCTCGGGTGCGAAATCGGGGGTTCATGAGTGGGTTTGCCATAACAAGCCCTCTAGAGGTGCCAATTGACAAGGTCAAAGCCATATACTCCCACTCTTGTTGGAGTGGAGATTTGAACTCATGACCTCCTCTTGAGAGCATGGTGGTGTTACCACTGAACCGACACCCCATTCGCTATATAATAGTTTCAAAGTTTATAGATTTGTGTTTTTACTTTTGTATTAACTAATTTAGTGATGTGAAAATTATTTGGATTAAGTTTTGTTTAAAGATTTTACAATAATTATTTGTTGGAAATCTTAAACTGAATTTGGTTAAACAAAAATGCAATGAATTTCTTAGTTTAAGGAATGCGAAAGACATTGTTGAAATTGCTTTTAAGAGAATATTTATTGTTCAAAACCATCAAAATTGGTTTGTGAATTTCTAAAGCCAATTGTGTTGGAAAAAAAATAGAATTATAGCAATATTGTAATTTGATTGCATGTTACAAATTTTTCTGTAGATGGGTGGAGACCTTGTCGTCGGTAAACATTAGTCGACAGAAAGGTCGACGTCTGTTGGAATGTGTTATGTGTCACTGTTCGAGGTTTTCCTCATGTTCATCCACTAGATTGATGTTGGCATCTATTAGAATGTGGCTCTGATAAGTCTAGTTGACTTTGTCGTCAATTCTGTAGAGTAGACAGAAATCGATGACAGAAAAACATAACTAAATTCTAATAATTTGGAAAAATTTTGGTTACAAAAACTTGATACTATGTATGAAATTAAATGTTTTATGCTTGTAAAAGTTTCATGTAATAATGTAAAATTGTGGTTTTGGTGAACCGGAATCGATGGTTTTTTATGAAAAGGTATGACTCTTAGGTTTTTCTGGTTGAAGAGACACGTACCTAGTATTGTGTCTAGTGAGTTCAAGTTAAAAGAGACAAACAAAGTTTTGTCCATGGACTCTAAGTGAAAAGACACAATTGAAAGTATGTGTCCACTGGTTCCAAGTTGAAAGACACGAGTTAAAGTCATGTCTAGTCATCAAAGTGACAGTTTAAAGTTGTAGCCTTAAGTCGATAGCTAGCCATTACTTTTAAAGTAAAACTCTTTTTGTGAAGAGTGATTAATCTTTCAATTGTTAGGTTTATTATCAATGTATTTGATAATGTTGCTATTCATATGTTTGAACATTCTTATTATTTGTGGCATGATAAATTAGTGTTGAATTATTGCATTTCCGTGTAACGTATAAACTAACTTGTGTCAAATGTTTTAATAATAAAAATGTGAAATATATGCACATATCAAAGTTGTAAGATTACTTTCCAAGAAGAGATGAAAGTTATACATCATTGTTTGTAATAATATTTTTGATGTATGTGAAGTTAACAATTTTAACTAAGGGATGCAAGTAATATTTTATCACTTTTATAGATAATTGCTCAAAATTGTGTGCAGTTTTATCAAGTTAAAATGTGGATAAAAGATTTGACATGTTAGAATGTAACCGTTAGTCTAAATTTTCTCTAATACCACAGTACTAAACTAGTGTTTAATAAACAACATATAGTTTGGCTTGGAATATAAAACTTTACATCTCATGGCAATGATATGTTAGTGAGTTTTAAGAAGCCAAAAGTTTGTGGAGTAAAATATTATTAAATACTTGTCACGTGCATAATTAAGCCCCCTAAAGACCAAAGTGTCTCCATATCGAATATGGAAGAGAAGAAATTATATTATCTAAGATGAAAGTTCAAAATGTCACTACATATTGTTGTGTTTCTAGTTGGGATCAAGAACACTTAAGTGTGTGGTTATGTGAACATTAAAGTACCTAGGCTACTTATCATTGATAATAATTTATTAATATAATCAATGGACATAGATTCATTTAAAAGTTTATTTTTAAAGTTTCTAAAGTAAGTAGCTAATGTACTATCTAGTGAACCTCTAAGTTTTCAAAGTACAAAATGGTTCTATGGGTGAACCGAAGAGAAAGGCATTGACTTTCTTTTTTAAGCAAAGTCTAAAAGTATGTAAAAGTTCTCTTTGAAGTTGTATCCTCTAAGACGACTAACTTCCTAGTGAGAGCAATAGAAATAGTCTAACAAGTAAAACTTATGTTGTTTTTGTAGAGTAAGTTAAAACCAATGAGTTTTTTGAATTTTAGGCTAATGTTTTTTAGAAGAAGAGTTACTCATGTAATGGACTTGATACTGTCTAATGATGTATGTGTCAAATTGATTTAACTTGAAAGGTTTTAGGCTAGTACGGCGTAAATGGTTATTCCATTAGTAATATAATATTGATAGTAAAATACATCAATAGTGTTTTTTTTTTTGAAAAATAAAACATTTCCATTCAATTACCAACAATGCCAGTCAATAAAAATCTTTAACAATCTAAACTTTCATCCACTTATGTAGCCAAACCAAAGTTCTCATCAACCGACACAAGCCCACATCACAATTTACTACTCTTCATATAGAGTTAGAAAATAAATTTTCAAAATAGCTATCCAGACTTCTGAAATACAAGGACAAAGAGTACTACTCTTCACAATCAAACATGATCCGGAGAAAATGGTTCAACATCACTTCTTGGCACTATTTCCGAATTGCAACCCCATGGTTTCTGATTATATTAAGAATAGAGAGAATGATGTCTTGTTGGGTTTCCTCATGCAATCTTTTGTCCTGATTTTTCAGAATGCATGTGTAACTCAATTCATCATGTGACATCATTGAGCAACGTGGCACTTAAAGTGTGTTAACATTTTCTTTTGCTTCAGGTGCCTTACAGCAACCTCAATGCAAATGGAGTAAAAAGTGGTCCCATGCAGTCCACATCAGATTTGTGGTCCATCTATTAAAAAGTTTTTTTTTCCATGCAATGGGAGTTACCAGATTGTGTATTATATGGCCCACCATTACAGCATCCCTCTTCTTTCTTTTTTCTTCTTTTACAGTCTATAAAAAATAGTTGGTCCATATTTTACTTGTAATAGCAGAACTGGCACATATTTTCATGCCAATAACCAAGCATTGGGCTTGCTCTTATATCTTCTTTTTCCTCAGGTGCCTTATCATTATCTTTTATGCAGGGTTGTCTTTTTTTATTAGTCAACATCTCTTTGATCTTAGAAATCATGATAGGAATGGTTTCATAATCTTCAATCTTAAGAGAAAGGCCGATCTTGTCTTCAATTACATATAGAGAAGCTCTAGACTTGTTGTGTATAATCTCGTTTGAAAAAGGAGGGTTGGGGACAAACATCGGAATCTTCCCAGCAGAAAGTAAAGTAGTGGTTATGAGACCCATGGCGATAACTTCACCATCAACACTGCCAGCACGGATGACATCTCCCATCCTAAATGACCTGATAAATTGGATGAAGATTCCACTTAACACATTGGAAAGAACATCCTTCAAAGCGAAATCAGTAGCTACACCTCCGACACCTCCAACATTGATGACGGATTTGGTTGCAACTCCATAAGACTCATAAATACCAAGTGTTCCGAAAGGTACTAGTATGATTGTAGCTATACTATCACAACTCTGCACTACATGATTATCCATTGGGTTTGGCTGTTCTAGGACTCACTTACTCAAGTAATTCTTATACCTGAAACCAAACCAAGCAATGCAAAGAATGACCGCAGCACTTTGTGAATCCCCAACATGTTTCTCTGCTTCAAGTACTGAAGGGATGTACTTGAGCCCCACATGGGAGTGAGAAGAAGGTGATAAATGCCCAGATTGGATATTCTAAGGCATCCCATAAACTGCCTTTATATCCAACAGGCCTTAAGATCACCTTCTCTAAATTCAAGACCACAGACCCCTGATTGGCGAGAAAATTTACTTTCTTCAACAAGATAGGCATCATGTAGTGGACAAAGGGTGAAGTAAGCCGGACCAGCCATGGGCAAAAAATGATCCGTGACAAATGGGTGATTCTCACTCCATTGGATGAAATCAGGAACAACATCTGTTCCCACCTTATCAATGAGTTCATCTCCTCATTGAAATAGGAGAGTACATTGTTTCTTACCCAAATCTCCCAAGGTTTTGAATCTGTAAAAGAAATTAGAGACATGGAAGAATTATGTAAAGGGATAAGTAGTCTTTAGAGATGAATGAATAATTACAAGGGGCCGAAGGAAGAATTGTGTTGAAGTAGAAGCAGAAATCAGGGACAAACGAAGAATTACAATGGTTAAAGGAGAAGTAGATACATCAATAATATATTAGGACTTGAAGTGTCATGATTGCTTTGATTAGTGTGACTTGTATATTTTCTCGTACTAGCTAGATGTTTCTATTTAAGTTTTTCATGTTCACCTGTTAAATATGAAAAGTATTATCCTAGCAGTGACTTATATAAAAATGTGTATATGAAACTTCATAATGCTTTGTGCTGTGAAGTAATAAAAAGATGTGTATACTAGTGAAGTATTGATTTGATTTTATTCAATTGCGTGATGATAGATCTAATTAACTAAAAACGGAAAAGTTGCAACCCCAACGTGGTTCAATCAATTTGGAATTAACTAAAGAGTGTTAAGGAATTAAAAGAATATGAAACATGGTAAGTTTTCATGAAAGATTACGTTGGTGACTTGGAACACCATTGTTGTAACCCTTTATTCGTATTCTTTCAGTTCCTAATATTTGCTTTAAATCGATGTATTGCTGCAGGATTTTGGTAAGCTTTTTTGCGTTCCTAAATTATTAAAGAACAAGGAATAATTGCAAAGTTGTTTGTTCTTGTGCTTCTTCATATCCTAGAGTCAAATTGTCAATCAAACCCGGTTTTGAAGGTACTGGGGACAAATATTGTCTTAAAGAGAGTACATGCTTAGAACACATAATGCAACCACTGCGATGTTTTCTTCAATATTGTCTTTGAATATTTTTTTCTTAAAAACTCATCTATTGCTTTGTCTTGTTCTTGTCATATTCTTGTATGATTTCTCCAACTACAGATACTTTATACCTTTCAAATTCCATCCATCCTCTGTTATCAGACACTACATACTAGTTTCATTCATCCTTCCCTTTCATGAAAATGCATACATTTCTATGATATATTTTCGCTTCTTTTGCTTTATTGAAAAGAAAAAAAATTTGATTGCCCAAAAAGATTAATGTGAATCTCCAACCTCGATGTAATAGCAAATTTATTGCCCTTACCATGGATACATTCTAACCCTCCTACTTAGCTTTTTTTTTTTTTTATATGAGTACTTTATATGTATTAAAAATATATTTGACTCTGTGAAATTATTTCACTTAAAAAAACGTGGACTATATCTTTAAAGAGGAAGAGATTTGATTTATAATCTAATCATATTGATAGGAGCAATTAAAAACATGGTTTGGGGTAAAGGATCTCCTACAGCACAATCCTACTCCACTTCCCAAGCCACCATATAAATTTATCATATTCTACTGTTCAATTATTACTTTTCTTTTTTTTTTAAAAAAAAATTATACCAACACCCTAACCCACATTAGATGAACCCATCGGAACCATATGACAATATCTTAATGAATGATGTAGGAAGTAATGTAGGATTATGGTGTAAGAAATCTTTTCCTTAGTTTGGGATGTACGAAATAAATTAAATAATTAATTATATGGTTTGAAAATAACATTGAAGAACTAGTTACTTTACATTATCGATGATCTCTATATATTGCTTTCTTTATACTCAGTGAATTCAAATTGCTAATTGGTTTTTATGCTCAGTGAATTCGAGTTGCTAATTGTTTTGTTTTTTTGGGGGGAGGGGGGCACTCGGGTTTGGTCCCCAAAGTTTGGAGGGTAGCTTGACCCAATCACTATTAATATTTTTATCAACAAAATTAGTCCCTTGAGAGTTTCGTGTCACCAATTTCAGTCTTTTTAACAGATTTTTAAAATTTTAATGGAAGTTGTAATCCTTCCGTCAAATCTGAAATATTTTATAACTTTCCTACTAATTGTGTGTCCCACTGATATTTGACCAAACAAAAAATTTAAAAAGAAAGAAAAATAATAGCAGCCCGTCTTTTTTTTCTTCGCTCTCCTTCCTCTTCCTCCTGCGCGGCCTCCACTTCCTACCCCATATTCAAATCATCACCCCATTTAGGCTCCATTGGAAACAAGGCATATATTTCTGTCCCCAAATCTCATAATGTAAAGAGGCTCCAAAAGGTTTCAAGTTAAAATACAGTGCCTGTTTGGGAGAAGGAAATCTGTATTTTTTTCAATCAATTTTTGCGAAACGACAATAGAAAAGGATGGTAGCTTTCTTCTTCTGTCATTCTTGTTTTCTCCCTTGCAATTGTGACGGTTTAGATTTGCGGTGAAAATTCCATTGAGGGGTTTTGGGGCAGAATTTAAAGCAAGAGTTGTGTGTGTGGATTGAGTTTGAAGGCAACCGTTTGCAAAAAAAAAAAGGTAAAAACGACAACTGTGATGGAATTAAGTAATTTTAATTCTATTTTTTGGGGGGAACGCCGTTAGATTTGGGGGGAATTTTCTCAACGCAGTTGCACAAGAGTGACGCACAGCGTCAGGAAATAGAAGGGAGGGAAGATTTGGAAGGGAAGAAGGTGGGGCCGGGGGATGGGTCGGTGGATTTTCGTCGGATTTTTTCCCTTTTTCAGCTGCTGCCGACGCTGGATTTTATAATAAAGGACTGTGAAAAACATGTGCTAGCAAGTCAATGGACGTAAAATTAGTTCAGATTTGATTTTGATGGATACTGGCTTGTAAAAGTTTTCTTTCTTCTTTATTTTTGTTTTAATATGCCATTTCTTTTTTTGAATTTGCAATGTTTTCTTTCTTGGTTTTTTTGTGAAAGGCTCGTATTTGTTTTTTTGGAATTTGCTTCTTGATTGTGTTCAATTTTAGCGAGAATTTAGTGGTGATGATTGGTATGAGGTGAAGGAGTTGAGGTATGTGTATATAGGAAGTAGTAGCGGTTCTGGGTGGTGGGGTGGTGTTCAGGTGGAAGAAAGGAGAAGGTGAAGAGGGAGGGAGGAGAAAGGATTTTCTCTTTTTTTTTTTAACTATATTAAATTTTTAAAAAAAATTGGGTCAAAGACCAGTGGGTCCCATAAAAAAATTAATAAAATATTTTACATTTGACGGAAGGATTACAATTTCCGTTAAATTGCTCAAAAATCTGTTAAAAAGACTGAAATTGGTGAGATGAAACTTTTAGGGGACTAATTTTGTTAAATAAAATTAATGGTGACTGGGTCAAACTACCTCCAAACTTTGGGGACCAAAACCGAGGTTTATAAAAAACACTTTTTGATGCGGATATATTATAGGTTTGATGCGGCCGAGGATAAAGAAGACTTTTTATTTACTTTCATTTTGTTATTTGATCATGGACATTTTAGACTTTGACTTTAGTTGCTAGGATTTATTTTGATGGATTTTTGTTGGTTATAAGGGGACGGTCGCCTTTTGAGACTTTGGTTTTTTTTTTTTTTTTGATTGAATATTATAATTGAGAAGTTCTTTTGTTAGAGATAATGATCAAGAGGAGTTTGAGTACATGTAGTCATACCAATCCTACTTAGTGATAATTTCTATTAAGTAGTTGATAGGTTAGAGTTTTTATCAACGGTAATAACTAGCGACTGCTTGCGAAGTATGGAAAGAGATTAAATTTATTTTCGCAGCGGTGGATACTTTGGATAAATAATTTGTAATTTCCTTTTGTTCTCTTAGTTAAATTGAATTTTACCTCGGCCCAATCTTTTACTACAAAGGATTGAGCCAAATACAAAGATTCTATTACATGTATTTTTGATAAATACAGACTTAATCTAAGTAGAGAAGATGGTAAATACAAAGTCGACGAATGTGGTGCCTATCTTTTGCTTTGAAATTAATCAATCACAATGTAGTCTCCAAAAATATTCTCGTTCAATTTATTTCTTTTATTTATTTTCTTTAAATTTTAGTTTTCTTCTCGGTATCCGAGCAGGTTTGCCCTGTTTCTGTGCCATGCTTCCACTTGTTTTTTTTTCTTTCAACAAATAAACCATGATTAGTTCTGTCATGAATATTAACAATTGTGTCATGTTTCAACTCCAAATTCATTCCAAATCACTCCTCTTCTACTGCTAATTCCAAAATCCTGTTTGATTCTCCAACAAAGTTCACAATACCTATAAACACAAATCGATCTCATTGAACCACAAAATTTTTTTCTTTTTTTTTTTAAAATCTTTTTTCCACAATAAATATTAGTTGATCCACAAATTTCAGACAACGAGGAAAATCACCTCTGAGTCAATCCACAAGTTTTTTTTTTTCACAAATCAACTTTAGTTGATCCACAAATTTCAGACAACGAAGAAAGTCACCTCTAAGTCAATTCACAAAAATCTTCATTACGACAAACATCTGATCTTCTCTCAAAAGAAGAGTTTTGTCTTGTCGTACAATAATCTTCAAAAAAAAATAAAATTCAAGCCTTTTGTCCAAAATATGGCCAGAATCAGTCAAGCTTGCAAGCCGATAATGGTCCACAAAGTCGATAATGATCCACAAGAAAATTTTTCACCACCGCATGAAGATGAGAAGCCGTCAACACAGTCGAAGCAAACTGAGTCTCCAACCCCGACTCAATTTGAGGGAGGATGTTAAAAATAATGATCAAGAGAAGTTTGAGTACATGTAATCATACCAATCCTACTTAGTGATAATTTCTATTAAGTTGTTGATAGGTTAGAGTTTTTATCAA